TTTTTTTTTTAAATCGAAGTGACTATTTTTTGACAAGAAATATTAAAATAAATTCTCTCTTATTATAAAGCACGTAAAATTTCGAAAATATATTTGAAAAATCAAGAAAATATATTAATATTTTCATTCATAATTATTTTAAAATTCTTGAAACAGCGGAAAAACAACAAGCACAACCTTCGCCTTCAACGTTTTATATGTTACTGAAAGCATTTCTAAATTTGATTGTATCTAAAATACAATCAAATATTATTTTTTAAATAAAAATTTTACATACACTTCTAAATTTTACCTCTATTTTTGAGAAAAATTTTTAAAACTTAATATATTACTTAAGTAAAAAAATATTTAAAAGGTTTTGGAAAAGACAATAATATATTTTTATGACCGGATTTGAATATCTTTCTTATTTTTGAAATAAATAGTATCTTAGCAAATGACTCAAAAACTCCGATTGTAAAATGACAAGTAGTAGGTACAGATATCCGTAAATTTTTGTCCGTTTGCGCTTACTATTACGATTCATACACAGGCAGGGCCATTTTATAAATAGATTGCTCTTGTTTACCTGATAATAAAATATGAAAGAAGAGCACAACGAAATTTTTGAAGCACTCAATATAACATGTTTGAAATAGTTTTAAAATAATTATTTAAAAAAAAAATGATTGGAAGTGGGTACATGAATATTTATTTTTAATAACTTAAAAACTAACTGAAATTATTTAAAATAATTGTATAAGAAACGTATAAATAACCGAAATGAGATAATTCAAATTGTTGAAATGTGTCAACCTATGTTACTTTTTTTTAACATTTTTGTTAGCCGACACTACTCAACTTACCTTATTGGGAAATACAAAATGTGCATGAAAAATCATACATCCTTCCTCATTAATATTTGAAACCATACTGAAATATGAATTTGAAATTTTTTTCCATTTTGTCTTTCCTCCTACCTTTTTTTATTTTTCGTGTAATAGAATTTAAAATGGGAAGCTTTTTAAAATATGTGTATAATATCCTGAGATTTTTTAAAATATTAAACTCTTTTTTACGTAAAAAAAAAAAATAATAAAAAATATGACACGATCAGTGGCATTTAAAGAAAAAAAAATCTGATGTGGTCAGCACATAACCGACCGTAATGTGAATTGTCTAGTTAAGTGAAAGTGTTACAGAATATTACAAAAATGTCTGTTAAATGCTTCCTTCCAATTTTTAGAACATTAGTGAGCTTATAGTTAACATACCTAGAAAAATGTAAATTTGGCTCTTAGTAGAATTTCGCTTTGTGCTACTCGAATTCACTGAAATGCTCGACAGTTAGTTCCGATAACAACCAGAACTCAAATATCAAATTTCAAGAAATTCCAGCAATTCGTTCCGTAGATATGGTGAAAAATGTAAAATCGGCCCGCATATCAGTTTTCGAGCCCTGATCTTTCCAAAAAATTTATATGTTCATTGTTTCAATACTAAGAATTTAAATATTAAATTTCAAAGAAATCGGTTGATTATTTCTCTTTATATACGCAAAAATGAATATTCGGCCCGTAGTAAACGTCCAGTTGCTGACATCTGATTTCTTCCAAAATTTAGGAGGTTTCGTGGACGGTCGAGCTGAGCTTTTGAAGAAAATATTCAACCGATTTGCTTGAAATTTCATATATAAGAATTTCAAGCAAATCGGTTGAATATTTTCTTCAAAATGTTCAAAAATGTAAAACAGGCCCGCTAAAAAGTGCAGTTCCTGAGGCCTGATATATCCCAAAAGTTGATTAAACCGTGCCATGGTGGAAATAAACTTATACATATATAAAATTTCAACAAAATCGGTTCAGCAGAACTTGAGATTTACGCGTGCACACATAGACTGACAGACCGACAGACCGACAGGTTGCTAAAAATAGTTTACTTAGACTTCCCTACTATGAAGAAGTACATTCCCACCGAAAGCTCGATATGCAAAATTTGTTGCCATCACATAACCTACCTATTGTTTACACAATACGGTCGGTAAAAAGGAACGAAGCCAAAAGTTCGTAATATTTCGTAAAAAAAATGAGTATTTGGACATTATGTCAATCGTGATCCATGCTTATATTTTTATTAATATTTTTAAAAAGGAGTTTAATTAATGTCTTTATATCTAACAAGTCCCAATACTCAATTTTTTTTACGAAATATTACGAATTTTTGGCTTCGTTGCTGGTTTTTTCTTTAAATGCCACTGATCGTGTCATATTTTTTATTATTTTTTTCTTTTTTGTTAAGTAAAAAAGAGTTTAATATTTTAAAAAATATCAGGATATTATACACATTTTTTAAAAAGCTTCCCATTTAAATTCTATTGCACGAAAAAGAAAGAAAGGTAGGAGGGAAGATAAAATGAAAAAAAATTTGAAATTCACATTTCAGTATGGTTTCTAATGTTAATGAGGAAGGATGTATATTTTTTCATGCACATTTTGTATTTCCCAATAAGGTAAGTTGAGTAGTGTCGGCTAACAAAAATGTTATTAAAAGTAATATAGGTTGACACATTTCAACAATTTGAATTATCTCATTTCGGTTATTTATACGTTTCTTATAAAATTGTTTCAAATAATTTCAGTTAGTTTTTAAGTTATTAAAAATAAATATGTATGTTCCTACTTCCAGTAAATTTTTTTTAAATAATTATTTTAAAACTGTTTCAAACATGTTATATTGAGTGCTTCAAAAATTTTGCTGTGCACTTTTTCCATATTTTATTAGCAGGTAAACAAGAGCAATCTATTTATAAAATGTCCCTGCATGTGTATGTGTGACCTATCTTAATTCTAAACGGGAAGAATATTACATAAAGAACAAAAATTTTAAAATACCTGTTATTTTACAGTCGGAATTTTTGAGTCATTTGGTAAAATATCATTTATTTCAAAAATAAAAAAATATTCAAATCCGGTCATAAAAATATATGATTGTTTTTTCCAAACATTTTAAATATTTTTTTTTCTAAGGCAATTGATATAAATGATAGTAAGTTTTTAATATTTTTTCAAATAAAAATAGAGGTAAAATTTTGAAGTTTATGTAAAATTTGTATTTAACAAATAATATTTGATTGTATTTTAGATATTATTTTCTAATTCCCTCTTCAAATTTTTTCTTTACTATGTATTTATATCAATATTTATGAATTATCTTTCATTAATTATATTTTCAACTTGACACCACAGTTACTCCCCATATCTTGAGTTAACTTACCCTATGAGAAAAAAAAGCTGTTCACTTAAAAAAAATGAAATGCTTTCAGTAACATATAAAATGTTGAAGGCGAAGGTTGTGCTTGTTGTTTTTCCGCTTTTTTGTATGTATTTCAAGAATTTTAAAATAATTATCAATGAAAATATTAATATATTTTTTTCATTTTTCAAATATATTTTCTAAATTTTACCTGCTTTATAGTAAGTGTGAATTTATTTTAATATTTCTTCTCAAAAAATAGCCACTTCGATTTAAAAAAAACCCATATCAAATAAGGTCGTGCTTTCAAGTTTCTCTCTGAGCATTGGGACTTGTTAGATATAAAGACATTAGTTTAATATTTTAAAAAATCTCGTGATATTTTACACATTTTTTAAAAAACTTCCTATTTAAATTCTATTGCACGAAAAAGAGAGAAAGGTAGGAGGAAAGAAAAAATGAAAAAAAAATTCAAATTCATATTTCAGTATGGTTTCAAATGTTAATGATTAAGGATGTATGATTTTTCATGCACATTTTGTATTTCCCAATAAGGTAAGTTGAGTAGTGTCGGCTAACAAAAATTTTAGTAAAAGAAATATAGGTTGACACATTTCAGCAATTTGAATTATCTCATTTCGGTTATTTATACGTTACTTATAAAATTGTTTCAAATAATTTCAGTTAGTTTTTAAGTTATTAAAAATAAATATGTATGTACCTACTTCCAATAAATTTTTTTTTAATAATTATTTTAAAACTATTTCAAACATGTTACATTTTTTATTAATATTGGTTATTAATTCCTTTTTCAAGAAAAAAAAAATGTTCGTGTGAATGAGCGAGGGGAATTCGGCAGAGTTAGAGCATTAAAGAAAATCGGATTGAAAGAATTGTGTCTTAAAAAATATTTTACTGTAATTTTAATAAGAAAAATTATTGTTTTTTTTAAAGATAGGTATGTATGTTCTAACAATAATGCATCGAAGAATAGTGTAAGCAACAGTGAAATACAATTTTTTTTATGTAAATATATATTCTTACTATGAAATTTTAAAAATTGATTATTCAAAGAGAAATAGAATATTTTTTTATGTAAATATCAATTCTTTATATATCATTATTCTATATATCATTAGAAGCTAATATGAATTAACTTGAAAAAGTAATAATCAAAGTTATACATTATAACCAATAGTATCATTTAAGTTGTTGCGTATGGATTTTTTTGTAATTTATGTTCTAAACTTATTTATTAGTTCAATGTATCTAAGTGATTTTGGTATAAACTTTATTATTAAATAATTAGACTAGAGAGTAAGATGAGGTTTTAATATAAACTTTATTCTAGACTAGAAAGTAAAATGAGTGAAAATAAAAATTTAACGAGTGAAGTGAAGTTTGGAAAACAAATTTCATTTGTACTATTTGATGCCAAGAAAGGGGAATCTGAAACAACTACGGTTATCATCACATTTTCCATAAGTTTTCACATTCAAGTGCGAAAGAATTTAAATCGCGTGGCTTTATGCGTCAAAAAATGCTGGCAACCATAATTGCATGTGATCAATTTACATGAAACTAATTCAAGATATATAAAAAATTCTAAAAAATTTTAAAATTAATATCAAAAATAAAAATTATGAGAATATCAAAATATAAACTACGTTTAGTCAATTGTTGTATTTGTTTTAGAATATATACATGTAGAATTCTCTGTAAGTATGAACTATCAACCTACAGATTATGTCTTGAAGTATTTAACTTACCTCTTGGATGTAAGCAGTTTGGTTTAAACCAAATATCTGTAAATATATGATTATCTTTTTAAAACAAATTTATTACTTTAAAATAATTTGTTAAAATATTTATTGCAAAAAGTAAGTTACGCATTAATAATTTATCATATTTGGGATCTGTTGTGTAAACTTCTTATTTCTTACCAAGCAGAACTCAAATTAGTGTCGCAAAAAAACAAATAGTTTTGAGTAGTTAATTCAATTTTTTAAATTAATAAATAATTTTATTTCCAACTTTTAACACTTATATTCATAAAATTTGCATTTTCACCATATACATATATTATGTATAAATGTACATAAGTTTATATATAGTGCTTATTAGTTTGACTCTGGTCATCCGTAGACTTGCTTACAAAACTTCTATACCTTTAAAGATAGAAAGCTGAAATTTCATATGTACATACAGAAACTTATTTATGTATGTACCTATATGTGTAATATACGAGTATTAGAGAGCCAAAAAACAAGAATAAAAATTAACAGACGCATTGAAAAAATTTAATTGTAAATGTAATTGAACAAAATAAAAAAGAAATAAAGAACTAATAACCTTTTTATGTATAGTAAATTCGCCAACTTGTAGTATTTTCTTTTATATTTATCATCTTTAAAGTAAACTGTATACTAAAATTCATACTTTTTCATACTTTTTGACGAATTCACCATACGTTATAAGTTCATAAATTCAATATTTTATGTAATATTTCTTGAAATTATTTTCTTTTTTAGTGCATTGGCTTTAGAAATTTGTGTTCTTTTTAGCGCTTTTCCAAAAATTTTTTGAAAACAGTGCTTGTTAGTTTGTTTCTGTTTGTCCGTCTGCCCATGTGTCTGTTTACAAAACACTACACTCTTTAAGAAAAAGGGTTTAAATTTTATATAGAAATTGATCTTTGCTCGAAACTTATTTTCGTATAAGAAAATTTTTACCCATCTCTCTCCTCTCTAAAAGTTATAGCCCCTCAGAAACGCAGAAAATCAGTGGCTGCCTTCTTCCTTCACGGCATACCACATTTGAACTTTAAAAAAACAAAATGACCTTTAAAATTTACCGTTATTAAAAATCCATTTCTTCTGATAGAAAGCTGATTTTACTTTGATAAAGTGCGTATATAGCCCACGAAATATATTAGCAAAAATAAAAAATATTTTATTCAGAATAAAAGAGAGATTTCTTTTCATACACCTAAAAAAATAAAAAGAAAATTTGTATTCCGGAAAAATTATCAACCATTGAAGAAATTTTTTGAATAAGCTCTTCTTTTAAATTAAATTTTTAATTTTTTTAAAATGTTTAATTTTTCATTTTTTATTTCTATTTTACATACACTCTTTACCTTCCAATATTGTGAACATAATACTCTGCAACGAATTAGAAATACTAAGGGAGGGAAAATATTAATACAGGAAAGCGAGTCGGAAGAATTTAAAACAACAAGTGGAGTAAGGCAAGGAGGTACTTTATCGGCGTTAGTATTTAACATGGTACTGCAGTATGCAATTAGTAAACTTGATTTAGGGGGATATATTTTTATAAGAACGCATCAAATTATTGCCTATGCCGATGACATTGCAATAGTTGGTAGACGAGTTGATGATATGAAAGCAGCTTTCTTATTGCTGGAAAAGGAGGTGAGAAAAGTTTAACTACAAATAAATGAGGAAAAGATGAAATATGTGAAAATGTCCAGAAATGCAGCTAAGAGACAACCGCAAGATATTTGTATGCAGGGATATCACTTCGAAGGAGTTGAAACCTTCAATTATCACGGAGTAGTTCTATCCAATGATAATAGTATTAAAAGTTGCATACAGAATCGAATTAGAGCGGGTAATAGATGCTGTTATGCCAAAAAAAAAATGATACAATCAAGATTATTATCGAAAAATGTAAAACTGCAGATATATCAAACATTGATTCAACCTGTTGTAACGTAAAATTTCAAGTAAATCGGTTGAATATTTTCTTCAAAATGTTCAAAAATGTAAAACAGGCCCGCTAAAAAGTGCAGTTCCCGAAGCCTGATATATACCAAAAGTTGACCGTGCCATGGTGGAAATCAACTTACATATAAAATTTCATCAAAATCGGTTCAGCCGAACTTGAGATACACGCGTGCAAACACAGACCGACAGACCGAACGACCGACAGACCCACAGACCGACAGGTTGCTAAAAATAGTTTATTTACACTTCCCTAGTATTTGTTGCCATCACATAACCTACCTATTGTTTACACAATACAATCAGTGATAAATAGTATACACAAAGTTATTCATAGTCATACATATTCATAGCATAGTCATATATATTCAATAGTAAAAATATAGCACCAAATTTTTTTTTATTCACTGTATTATCATTTGTTACTCTCAATTATCTCAGATATGTTGTCTGACATGGCGGTACAAAAAATGCGGAAAGTTGAAAGTTGTGTTGAAATTTAAATTTTTGATATGTTGTTAAAAAAACTCAAAATTTCATTAGGTTTTAGTCAACTTTTCGTATAGAAAATTTAAAATGAAAATGGGCAAAAATCATCAATTTTCAGAAATGCTATTTCAAGATATTTACACATAAGTAAATAATGTCCAAATATTTACGTATAAGAATTCTTGCACCTTATTATTACTTGTAATTTTTGTTGTTGTTCCTTTTCATTGTATTCTCTTCTTTTACCACAGACATCTACATTCTCAAGACATAAGGTGTATTCAAAGTTGGTCATCATACTTTTTGTTGAGAAATATATTCTTATATTAGGTATTTTCAAATAAATGGAAATGTTCATGGTGGTTTTGGATGTTTGAAAACAAAAAACGATTAAATACAAAAAATATGCAGAAATTATTTTATTTCGTTTAAATATTAACAAAATTAAATTTTTTGTTCTTACAAACTAGTTACTTATTCCAGGTAACAAATTACATTATAATAAATTATAGGTAACAAAATATTTTTCAGTTAAAACCAAAATAATAAATACATAACAAAATTGTTTTTGAATAAAGTACATAACATATTTAGATAAAAAAATAAAATTTTTAATCAATTTTTCTTAAAACTAGTAAATTTTATAACAAAAATGTATTCAACTAAATTCACAAAATTTTTTAATTTTCTTTTATAAGAGATTAAATTACATACTTATTTAAATTGTTAGAATCTTAACATTAGATGGTACTTGATTAAATTATATTTGCCACAGGCAACAAAATAAAATTTGAAATTCTTTCAAATTAAAAACACTTCGGTGGTGTAGAACTCCTTTTTCCTAATGCTTGTATCCATTTATCCCTGATGACTTCGTTCTTTGGCAAAGTAAATGTAGGTATAGCATTTACGTTCTCCTTTTCTCGTAGACTATTATATTTTATTTAAATATGATTACAATAGAAACATTAAAAAGTACACCAAATCTTACTAATTTATTAAGTCATTTTTTCTATTTAAATAAACTTGGGTAATTTTTTCAAAATCCAATTTCTTTTTTACTAAATATTAAAAACAAAATATAAAATTAATATAACTTATAAATCTTCATTTTATTTAAAAACACAAATAATAAGTATAATTTTTTCACTAAATTGGAATGAAAATTAAATGTTAAACAGCAAATGAATTATTTTACCGCTTAGCGACACAGTCTTTCCGTACGATATACGTTTATATATGGAACGTTTATATATGGACTAAAGAAATGAATAGTCTTTTTATACCCGTACGAACGTATGTTCGACAGGTGTACTAAATTTACCTTACCGTTTGTAACGCTAAGAAATAACGGCGTTAGATATAGACTCAAGTGTATGTTTTTGATCAGCGTCAAATTCTGAGTTGATTTAGCTTTGTCTGTCAGTCCGTCCCAACGATAACTCAAAAACTAATTGAGCTAAGCTCACCAAATTTTCACAAATGATTTATTGTAGTTAGTGCCAGAACCCTATTTAAATTGGACATGATCAGGGTACCGGTTCGGGTAGCTGCCATACAACTTCAAAATTTATTTGGCTATATCTCAGAAACTATAAAAGTTGTGGTATTGAAATTTCACACAAACGAATATATTAGTAGGGCCAATGTGTCTCATAAAAGTCGTTGAAATTATTTGGCTCCTTCTGGTACCTGCCATACAACTTCAAAAGTTATTTGACTATATTTCAGAAACTATTAAAGCTATGGTATTGAAATTTCACACAAACGAATATAGTAGTAGGGCCAATGTGTCTCATAAAAGTCATTGAAATTACTTGGCTCCTTCTGGTACCTGCCATACAACTTCCAAAGTTATTTGGCTATATCTCAGAATCTATAAAAGCTGTGATATTGAGATTTCACACATGTGAATATATTAGTAGGGCCGATGTGATTGATAAAATTCGCTAAAATTTCTTGGCTCTTTCTGGTAGCTGCCATACAACTTCAAAAGTAGTTTGGCACAACCAGTATTTTGTAAAACACATAGTACTGAAATTTTGCATAAATTAATATGGTAATACGGCAACTTAAATTCATAGTCTGCCCCATAGTTAGTTATGGCACATTAGTTATTCGCATATAGGATAACAAATTCGTACGGGTATCACAGAGTTGACAAGGTCAACTCTATTTTTTTTCTCGTTTCTGAATAAAAAACTTTGGATACACACATATGCAAAAACATTAAGATGCTTGTACATTATAGGAGTCTATGCTTAAACGAATTAGGCAAATTGTTGTTGTATTTTATTTGCTTTTTATCTTAGTTTAAAATATTCTAATAACCCTTGTTTGTCATATACCATTCTAATTTAAATTATAGGTGTGTGTATGATCATGTAGGTGTTAGATGGGAATAAATTGCATGAAATATAATGCGGAATCCTATGTAGGGTTAAATGTCGGATCATTTTATAATTTTTTTTGTAATGATCTGATTCTTGTGTTGTCCGTTCTTCTATTGGAAATTTTGAATCGAAATTTCTAGTTATACTATACATCATATGATGATACCGGAATTTTGG